AAAAAAGAATAGCTCATAAAATCAGTGCTGAGGAAAAGAAAAAAATAAAAGGTTCCTAGCCCTCAAGAGCTCTATAAGTCAGGTACACATAAGGTAAGTATAACTATATAGCCCAAGAATTGATAAGGAAGAGAATTAACAGGAAGTAGCAATGACTATACCACATACATGGGAGAAATGTGACAAGGAAAGGAAAAGGAATGTTTGGTTGGCAGCTGAAAACACCAGAACACTCAACAGATCTTTGTTTTATTATGAGAAAGGTATCTTATGGTTTAAGGGAAAGGTCCACTAAAAGGAGTAGATTGAAGATGTCAGAACAGGGAAAGTTGTGGGATCAAGACTCAGAGAGACGGCAAGATAGAATTTCAAAGTATAATAAAATGGGTAAGCTTTAGGAACAAGAGACCTTTCGGGCTCAAGGGAAAGATGATTAAATCATATATTGGGAGAGTAGTATGCAAAGGTTAAAATGAAGGACTAATGGTAGTCCCAAACTTTTCAGTAAGATGAGGTAGAGAAACAAAAGTATTAAATAAGAGAAATGATTTAAGGTAAACCTCATCTCAAATGGCAAGATATTAAGACATAAAGATCAACTCTGGAATGTTCTAGTCTCTCTCTAACATTCAGAGAAGCAAGTTAGATATTCAGCATTAAGAATTAGTGAGATGAGTACAACAAAAGATCAGGGAAGTATATGTGTCCAGCAAGATAAAACAGGCAGCACTGAAATATTGGTAATATACGGAACTATGAATTGAACAAAGTAGATTATGTAGATTGAAAGACTGGGCCCATCTGTCCAAAGTTACTAACATATATAAGACTAAAAACAACTGAGGTGTTAAATAAGTCTACATGCAGGAAATCCCACTCATGTAAGAGTTTCCTCAGAAATAAAGATCTGATGGAAACCTTTCATTAAATTTGGCTGCTTACACAGCAAAATGATACTTGGTTAACAAAGGAAGGACTAAGAAAGCAGGCATCACATTTGGGATAGTAGCAGTGACACTGTTAGGAAACCTGCAACTACCCACAGAAAATATTCTGCAGAAAGAAAATATAGTCAAATAACGAGTAAGCCAAGCACAGTAGCTCATGCCTGTAATCCCAGCACTTGGGGATGCCAAGGTGAGCAGATCCCTTGAGCCCCAGAGTTCAAGACCAGCCTGAGCAACATGGCAAACCCCATCTCTACAAAAAAATGCAAAAATTAGCCAGACATGGTGCTCGTAGTCCCAGCTACTCCAGAGGCTGAGGTGGGAGAATCACTTGAACCCAGGGGCAGAGATTGCAGTCAGCCAAGATTGCACCACTGCACTCCAGCATGGACAACAGAACAAGACCCGTCTTAAAAAAAAAAAAATTCTGAAATCAGAGAAGTAGGATTTGAGTCCTGATTTAGGCAAATAAAATTGCTCTTTCTAGGCCTCAATTCCCCATCTAGAAAATAACAATAATAACAGTAATATAAAAACAATAATAGCAGTAGCTAATATTTTTGAATGTTTATGTTACAGGCACAGTACTAATGCATTATTAGAACTGTATTAGCTCACTTACACACTTAACTCACTTAATCCTCACATTAATTATATAGAGGCTGTTATCTCCATTTTTCTGTGGTGTATGCAGAATTTCAACCTGCCTGTGCAATCTGATCCCAGAACCTATATTCTTTAGAACATTCTTCTGCCTCTCTGGGTTATGAAGATGAGAATGCAGTAAAAAGTGCTTTAAGTGTACACAAATGTCCACTGCTGAGTATCTAGAGACAGGACAAAATAATCCCAACAAAATCCTAGACGATGTGTCTACAAACAGTCAACATTCCATAAATCCATGGGCCTTATCCTCAAAAAGTTAAGGGAACAGACATATAAAAAGGCAACTACTAGATATAAACAAAATATACATGCTGCTTTTCTAGGTGAGCTGAAGTAAACAGTATAATTAGTGATAGAAGAATAAAGAGCCTTCAGAAATCACCAAATCACAGCCTCAAAAAATAACCGCATTAAATGCAAAGGGCTAAAAAATAACTGAGACAAAAACGAGATAGTTATAATTCTTTTTAAAGTAAAGGTTTCTGAACAATCACAAAGCTTTAAAAAGAAATAAGGTTTCAAACAGGAACAGGCTTTTCACAGAGCAACAAATTTCATATATGCACACTATGGAAAGAATTATCGTTTCAAACAAATGGTCCTAAACCACAATATAAATATTGTAGTAAAAAATAGTTGATACTTACTAGGCATTACACATAGCACCATTCTAAGCACTTTAGAGGTATCAATTTATTTAATCCTCACAACTCTATAAGGTTAAATCCTACTATCATCCTCATTTTCTAAATAGAGAAAATAAGACAGAAGCGTGGTCAAGTAACTCAGCCATGTTTATTCAATGACTGGCTGTGCTGGGATGCCAAACCCAGGAAATTCATATCCAGAATTTGCGCTATACTTCCTCTAATAGAAAACTAAAAGGCAGAACACAGATTGATTCATAAGTATTATTCAATCATATTTGATAATGAGGAAGAACCTTTCATTCACAATAAGCAGTTAATAACTCATTACCCATAGCAGTTCTGTCTTTGGCATTCCTTGCAAGTTAAGTCTGCACATTCTCACTGGACAATCTCATCAAACCACCCACCCACCGGCAAATACAATCTACTTGCTGATATTCTCAAATCTAGATCTCCAGCCCAATCTCTCTTCTGTACCTCCAACCTGCACCAAAACCAAATAGATACTTCTCTCTGAATGATTCATGAGCCCCTCAAAATTAACATGTCCAAAACTGAATCATCGTCTTTCCATTTGTATCTCTGAATCTCAAAGCCTTTTTCCTCCTGTACTTTCTTACCCCAAAGACTGCCATCATCATCCACCTGATCGCCCCACTGAGGATGTCATTCCCAGACTCCTCAATCTTCTTCACCGTGAATGTCCAATTACCAATCACTACCATGTCTACCTCCTGTCTGTCCAATCAGTACACATCTCTTCATTCACATTACCTAACTTAATTTTATAGCCTCTTAAAAAGCTGTTCTTTGCATTTTGTGTCGTTTTGCACAACTGATTATCTTTTTTTCTTATGGTTTGTCCTTGTGGTTTATTAGTGGCAAACTCCACTAATAAACATACAATTTCATATCCAACTCTCTAATGTGCACTTGCTTTATCAGCACAATATTTTCAGAGATAAACTTCTGGTTCTGAGAGAAATTAATACTAGGAATGCATGTCAAGTAGTAACATTTTTTAATATCATCACCATCATTTTTTAGTCATTTTACTAAAAAAAAAAAAAAAATTCCTCTCGTCACAATTCCCTGGAAGAAACTAATTACTACAAGTGTTTGATGACAGGTAGTATAGGCCATGTACTATGCTACACACATTACACAAATTATGCCATTTAATGTTCACAACTACACTATGAGCTGAGAACTATTAATATTCTCATTTGCCAGATGAGGAAACTGAAATTTGGCCTAACAATTTGGCCAAGGTCCCAAGTTAGAAAGTAATAGAATTTGAACCCATGTCAGAGTCTTGACAGTAGAGCCCAGGCTCTTACACACATGCTATTTTGTCCCTTAGGGAAAAAAATATAACAACATGCTTTAACGCTGGAAAGAAAAAAACAAAAATCTCTGTCTCAAAAGTAGCTAGGACTACAGGTGCAACAAAACACCTGGCTAAATTTTTATTTTTATTTTTTGGTAGAGATGGGGGTGGAGATCTCGCTATGCTGCCCGGACTAGTCTTGAACTCCTGGCCTAAGTGATCCTCCTGCCTCGGCCTCCCAAAGTGCTGGGATCACAGGCATGAGCCACTGCACCAGGCCCAAAAATTTTTAAGAAATGTCAGCAAACTAAAAGGACTCAGAGCCCCAGAAATACAACTGTCCAGAAACAAAAAAAGTAATTAATTTGAATGTTTCTTTTCTTGGGACATTATAATTCACACAAATATAATTTTATTAAAACAAAAATATCTACTGTCTTATCCGTAAGTACATTCCACAAAGAAATTCTACAAATATTAGAATCCGCTGTCATTCAATTTTTATTTGGCAGGTGAGAGAAAGGTGGCAACCAACCACAAGTAGGTGAAAGGCTTTGAAACCTACACCTTGATCACTTGCTTTATTTCAAGACTGCTAACATATGAGAGAAAGCCAATGTGTAAAAAACACTGCCTATCATCCATCTTCCTCGAGTGCTCGGAGAAACACAGGCGCACAGTTAAAATTCACATGCGAACTCAGATGGAGCTTCAGCCTGCAATCCGTCGAGGATTCGGCAGCTGGACACCGAAGGTGAAGCCCGCAGCTCTCAACTTTTCATTCTGGCCACACGGTTTCAATCCAGGACGCACAAGCCCATTTAAAACCCGGCCCAGGGTTAAAAGAGGGTTCCTGTCAGATTTCTCAGGAAGAGCGAGACGCGTGAAGGAGGGGCGGCCTCCCACCCGCCCCAAGCCGCCGCGCGCCTCTCCTTTTGTTGGGGTGGAGAGGAGGGCGGACCCCGCACCCTCTCGGGACCAACGGGGGGTGGGCGGAGAGAGTGGGGGAGCGACCCCGCAGCGGCCCCCGACCAGTCTGGGGGTGGGAACACAAAGAATTTGAGAAGCGGTCGACGAGCTCCTCCACCCGCCCTTCCAAAAACCGCCGCGAAAATCCAGGCCCGGGCCGCAGAGGAGCCAGCGGAGGCGGGAGCGCTGGCGACCGCGGCCCTTTCCGCTCCCGGCCAAGGCACAGCGGCGGGCGCGGGAAGAAGGCTCGTGTTCGAGGGCGGCGCGAGGCCTCCGCTACCGCCGCAGCCACCGCGAACCCCTTCCGCCCCGCCGCGGGCTAGGCCGCGGGATCCTGGCGCCGGCCCCGCCACACCCACTCGCCTCCTAGGCCCGGCCCGGGAAGACTCCGCGGCTCTTCCTCGGGCGGCTACGGCGCGCCCCACGCCGGATATTTACCTGCTGATTTTCTGGGCGAAGGCGCGGCGCTCCGCCATGGCTGCTGAGGCCGCGGCGGCGGCGGGCTGGGCGCGGACCGGCGGGCGCGTGCCTCCTCGCTCGTGCTCCCTCCCTCCCGGCCTCCGCCAGTCCCGGCTCCGGACCTGGGAGGCTGGGGCTGGCGGCCGGAGCCGGGAACGAGCCCTGCCGTAATGCTCCTTAGAGGCGCGCACCAAGAAACCGCTCCTCCCCCAGCGCGTCAATCCCGGCGGGAGCCCCGGCTTCGGAAGGCGGCTGCGGCCGGCGGGAGCCGGGGAGAAGAATGGAACGCTGAGGGAGCCAGGCGCCAGCCCTAGTCGCTTCACTGCCGCGGGGCCTGCAAGACCGAGAGGTCGCAGAGAGAAGCTAGAGAGAGCCCAGCGACCTGGCGAGGCAAGAAAATAAGTTAACCGAACGCGTAGGGGGAGCTTGGCTTTCCCGAAATGGAAGGGAAGGTGGGCTTTGCCGAGGGGGCTGTGCTTCACCGCCCTGGATGACTGGGTTCATGTGTCTGCAACACCCGTCTCCGAGCTTTTTAAAGCACTTTGGTTTCTGCTTCGGCCTCATGAATGGGGTCTAACTGGAGAAACAGTGGTTTTTCTTATAGAGAAAGGGACAGAAAATACCTTGCTCCTGGAGAGGTAACAATAGTAATAGTTGACTTCTGGTGCTTAGCCACTGGATTAAAGTTTTTCAAGCATGAGCACTTTGAAGTAGATCGTTACTATCCCCATTTTAGAAGGAAGGAAATTGGCTCAGAAAAGCTAAGTGACTGGCCCCAGATGGTAAACTCTTCCACTGAGGCTCAAACCCAGAACTTGTTCTTTTCTTTTAAGGACATTTGTTTCTGTATGATTTCCCCCTTTTGAGTCTCGCTTTCTCTGCCTCTTTCATTTATACATAATCCAAGTGCTCTCTAACGTTCTCCCCCATTTTGATGTTCTGTTAAATAATCACTGTGTTAACCACTGAAACTGACCTTGTCCATAATACCCTATAAAATAAAGACTAACAGATTTGTTGTCAATCTGTTCTGTTGTAATCCCATAGTGTCTAGAATATTTGGCTCCTAATACATATCTGTTTATTACTGAAATTATGGTGACACTAAGAAAAATATCTTGGTGTCTTGTAGTACCTTTCCTCTTAAATATTGCAGGAACTTAATATGTGTATTTATTTATTGTTATTATATTCTCAGTATGCCCTGGTGGAATATGTTGGATACCTATTTTCCTCTCTTTGACCATTGGAAAATCTGTAGCTTGGAGCCATTAGGTCACTTGCCAGAGTCACACACTGAGTCAAAGGTGAAAGCCTCAATTAGTCAGATCCATAACTTCCTGTCTAGGACTGTAACTTCTGTGGAAGACTGTGTGTTTATATAACAATGCTCATTCCAGTAACATACTGCTTTTATTTGTTTATTTACTTACTGACTTATTTGAGACAGAGTCCCCCTGTGTTGCTCAGGCTGGAATGGACAGTGGGCTACAGCCTAAAACTCCTGGGCTCAAGCAATCCTCTTGCCTAAGCATCTGGAGGAGTAGCTAGTACCACAGGCTCTTGCCAGGGCGTCCTCCAGTAACACACTGCTTTCAAATGCTTGTTTACTGGGGGAAAAGACCGTCTATTCAAAGAAGATTGATACATGGCTTCTACCTAAGTATAGAGCCCACCTAGGTGTTTTAAAAAACACAAAGGTGAGCTAGACACAGTCCTGCTCTCAGAATGTTTGAGTCCATTGGGAGTCAAGGCTGTCACTGTACCTGGCTTTTAAGACCCTCTGTGATAGGAACCCAGACTTATTTTGTCACTTTCTAACTCTGTGACCTTAGGCAAGTTACTCAACCTCATCTCTAAAAGGAGGAAAATAATTATATCTACTCGAAAGGGTGTTGTGAACCTAATATAAAGTTCACAGAACAGGGCCTGGCTCATGGTAAGTACTGTATGTGTCAGCTATTATTATTATTATCACAGTTACTGTCATTATTCATCCTATACTTAAGCTTGTCCTGGGTGTTTGATAGTCCCTGAATTGGTTGTCTGCTCTCATCCTCCCAGCCAGATGTTGCATGCCTTGATCTCTGCTCTCCAAACATCTTTTCACTACTCTCTTAGAGAACTGGCCACATTTTGCTTTGAATAGTTCTTTGTATATATGACTCACTAGTTGCCAAAGTGTCTGAAAGGCATGTACTGTGCAGCCTACTGGAAACATGTAGAGCAGAAAGAGGACAAGCAGGACCATGCTGTAAGCAGGGTAATGCAGAGTTGGGGTAACACTGTAAGCAGGAAGGGTGATCCTCACCTCTGGGGAAGAGCTGGCAGTCACAGACCAAGTCATGTGGGCTGGTATCCCTGCCCCCAAGGGTTTCAATGTCAGGAAATACATGGAATGCAACAATGGGATTTGAAAGTGGAATTATTTCGGCTGGCTAGCATCGATGCTCCCCATACCACCCCTACACACACACACACACACACACACAATCCACTATACTTCTGTGGCGCTCACTCCGCCACCCCCAGTTTCAAGGGTCTTTTGACCTTGACCAAGCAAAGCAGCACACTCTTCTGGCTTCTGTGACTGATTTGGGGATAGGCATCTATATCAAGCCAAGACAATCAGGCCCAACCAGAATTAGAAATTGCATTTGCTATACCAGGGCACTCCAGCTAAAGAAGGCATATCTGAAAGTGAAGCCAAACACAGCAGAGAAGAGAGCAAAAATAGTGAAAAACAAAAGCTCCTTAGAATGTAACATGACTTGAGCCTTGGACTTTGCATGAGCTAAAAATGTGCTGGATATTTTTGGGAGAGGAGAATGGCTGGTTTTTCATTAAGTTTGCTTTCATTAGCAATTCAAATCTCACCTGATACAGGACTTCATTCAGTAAACTAACATTCATTAAGTATTTACTATACTAGACACTGGAAATATAGTGGTAAATAGCACAGTATTTCTGTCCTCAAAGAGTCTAGAGTCTGGTGGAAGGGAAAAGCAAGTAAATAGCAGGTTACATGCTGAGACACAAAAACTTAAGGAAGCTATTGGAGTACATATAAATTCTTGATAGCATCAGTTCTCACATATGAGGTGTTAAAAACTGGATGGAGTTTAACCTCGTCTTTAGTCCTGTTATATAACCTGGCAGAAAGGCTGGCTATAGCTCTGGGAACCTGAGTAGCCCAATTCAGAATTCAGGACCCAAGCTCCCCACTGATGGAGAGATACAAAGAAACTACTTGCAGAAGCCGGGGCCAATTTGGCAGAGTGTACTCAAAACAGTGAGTTTTAGGTAAGAAAGCCTCAGAACAGTTTTCATTAGACTTCTGCTAAGTCCCTCAAGCAGAAAACTTAGGGATATGACAGAAAAAAAAAAGAAAAGAGAAAAGAAGGTGGGAAAAATATGAGTTTTGCATTCTAACCCTTAACAAACTCAGATCTACCCCCTTTAATATAGCACCAAGGAGGATCATGGAGGGGCTCAGTCAAGGGCTTAAGGCTATATAGTACAAAGGAGTAGAGTTTTCGTGTCCTGACGGATAAAGTTCTGGCTTTGCAAGCAGTATGTGTTCTCTTTTGGGATTTGGGAGAGCATAGAGAATGGTTCCTTTTTTTCAGGCATGGGCTTTTATGAAACACCACTGGTTTCATACAACAACGTCAACATGGAGCTTCCTTCTTTGGAATCTCCATCAAGGCCAAATGAATGTGGCCCAGAGGAAGGGAGAACTGACGCATGATATGTGGGTTTACCTCAATCCCAAACTAAAGCTTAGCCGTTGGACACTAAATCTAAGCTAGGGATGCTTTTGCCTGACTTTGTCCTCTGCTTCACTTCCTCCCAATATCTAGCAAGTATCATTTTTACAATTCAGAGGTCCTAGCCATACATCACAACTAATAGCACCCACATTCACTTTGTTGTAATACTCACTACACTATTCAAGTATTGCCTGTTAATCTTTGTACTCCATTGAACTTGATCTCTTGTTCACCATTATATTTCCAGTTTTTGTTAAAATATATTTTATTGCACTTTAGGTTCTGGGATACATGTGTAGAACATGCAATGTTTGTAATAGAACATGGCAATGTGGTTTGCTGCCTCCATCCCTGTCACCTGTGTCTGGCATTTCTCCCCATGTAACCCTTCCCCAACTCCCTACCCCCTGCAGTCGCTCCCCTAGTCCCCCCCAACTAGACCCCAGTGTGTGATGCTCCCCTCCCTGTGTCCATGTGTTCTCATTGTTCAATACCCGCCTATGAGTGAGAACATGCAGTATTTGATTTTCTGTTCTTGTGTCAGTTTACTGAGAATCATGGTTCCCAGGTTCATCCATGTCCCTACAAAGGACACAAACTAACCTTTTTTTTATGGCTGCATAGTATTCCATGGTGTATATGTGCCACGTTTTCCCTATCCAGTCTATCATCTATGGGCATTTGGGTTGGTTCCAGGTCTTTGCTATTGTAAACAGTGCTGCAATTAACATATGTGTGCATGTGTCTTTATAATAGAACGATATATTTCCAGTTTCTCATGCACTGCCTGATCCATTATAATTGCTCAGTAAATGTCTTTGAGTGAATAAATGCCATAACTAAAGTATTGTTAGATCCTGCCTATATAAGTCCATTTTCATACTGCTATAAAGAACTGCCCAAGACTGGTTAATTTATAAAGGAAAGGGGTTTAATCGACTCACAGTTCAGCATGGCTGGGGAAGCCTCAGGAAACTTAAAATCTTGGCAAAAGGCAAAGGGGGAGCAAGGCAGCTTCTTCACAAACAGCAGGAAGAAGTGCCGAGCAAAGGGGGACAAGCCCTTACAAAACCATCAAATCTCCTGAGAACTCACTCACTATCACAAGAACAGCTTGGGGGAAACTGCCCCCATGATTCAATTACCTCCACCTGGTTGCTCCCTTGACATGTGAGGATTATGGGTATTACAATTCAAGATGAGATTTGGGTGGGGACACAGCCTAACCCTATCACTGCCTTAATTTATATTTCCCCAAAAACAGAGCTTGAGGCTTGGATGCAGGTAGTTTGTTAGGAAGTGATACTAAGAAGCTGGAATAAGAAAATGGAGAGAGTAGAACAGAGTAAGTAAAGCCAGTAAATAGTGTTGTTGAGATGTTACCACTGTGGGCAACTGAGGCTCAATCCCACCT